TACCATTCATAATAAGCATCAAAAATATTATTAATTAGTAATTTATTATTAAAACAGATTTTCAATTGTCAAATCACTTACTCTGCCCTCGGATTTCCAATATATGAAAAACCCGTATTCATCCACTTTAAAGGTAGCATTTGGTTCGTATACTATTTCTCCCTTTTCCTATTATTTGATAAAAATAATTTTATATATGAATCCCAAGAAATCTTAAATATGTTTAAAAATGTCTAATATTCTATGCATTAAATATTATGATTATTATATTATAATAGAATAAATTTCAAATGAAATGTTTACTAAATCTATAACACATAAGACTATTATGAATAAAATAGAAACGATTACCTCTTCCCACATATGAAAGATGTTTCCCTCGAGAAGTGGTTCGGGAACAGCTCTTTGCCAATTGAATTCATACGCTTTCGTCATAATTGACACACTCTTTAGCACTCTTTTCACAACCAATTGAATCACATTTTATGCTCTTTTATACCAAATTGTATTTACAATTTCGACAAAAGTCCATAGAATTGAATTTTGAATACAATTCCTGTAGAAAATGACAACTATTTTAACATTACATTCAAAACAAGTGTTCGTGAAGTTATGTTAGCTCACTATCTAATGATTGTAATGAAAGGCAATTCTATAATTATATGATAAATGATTACTTCAATGTTGTTGTCTTGTATCTCAAACTCAAACTCAATTCAATAGATTATTTGCTTAAGTCTTTGATAAAAATAGACATTAATATATTGAGTTAATGATATTTTTTGATATACTTTTTATGACAATTAATAATAAATTGAGTGAAAATACACAATAAATGTATGAGATTATAGTGATTATAGAAAAGCAATTATCAGTCAGAAGTTATGCGATATAACTTTTATTGCTTTCTGTGTAAAACATAAAAGTGTTTATTTAAATTAAGTAATCAAACTTCATTTCAACGTTCATTTTGTACATTAATTAATGGTTTAAAATCACTCATTAGTTATATATCCGTTAGATTTTAAAGTAAATGAGAGCTTAAATCTCCGTAACCTTAGCCTAAAATTTGTTTCCTCTTTCACTCTAAAAATAGCTAAAATTCACGAACAAAATGATTATTAATAAGAAAAACACAATTTTGCTTCAATTCATTGACATATTTTATACAGTGAATGCCATAAACTCTTATTTTAAATTAATTTTTAAATAATTTTCATCTAACTTAAATTGATTGGAGCATTATACATTTTCAAAGTTTACACTTTATTATACTACGTTAATTGTCTGGATATGACATAACATACCTGTAATAATAGTTGTTTACTATAATTAAAAATCTATATCAGAATCGTATCACAAATTCTGTGCACTCGATGTAAAAGTGATTGAAATTTAATAATTCTTGAAAATAAATTCGTGAGAATATTAAGTGATTATAATTGACATCACTTTAAACACAAACACTAACAACACATACAATGAGTGAAATGCGTGCCATTTGTTGATAATTTGATTTCTCGTCAGAATTTGGTTTATTTAGAGGAAAACGTAACGCAAACTCGCTTTCGATGCGCAAAGTGTTCGCACAGAATGTCCCTCTCTTTGAACAAAATCTCTTTAAACAGCTTATTATTCAGCGAAGCCCTCACTTCTCATACCAATTGTTATCATTTCCGCCAATTTTGATGAGCACTACATATATGTACAGAATATTCTTTACATTCTCGCAATACATCCAATAATTATAATGCACACATTTTATCACGTTTTAAAATTTAATTAATTCAATACAAGCATTCAATGAGTTTATAACTTTATTTGAATTTCATTTCTAAAGGTATTATTTATATATTTATATGTATTTAATACTAAATTCAGTACTAAATGCGAGCAAATTTATAAATGCATTGAACATAAAAATCTAAATATTTAATGTTAAAAACGATTTGATAAACGAAAATAATATATCACAAAAATTGATGAATTATTGGGAAAACAGGTGTAAAATAAAATATTCATTTGAAATATACGTTTTTATTAAAAACAAAAAAGTCATTGTCTAGACATTTGTCTCCAAAAAACACATTATTTCCAATAATTGAGCGTTTATTTTGTGTACAGAATTCTAGTTGAAAACTAATGTAAAACTTACAATAAATTACATACAATTCTCATAAAGTTGTCAATCGATTGGCAAAACATTTTACAACGGAATCAATATATGTTTTGCCGTTTATAAGTAACAAATTAATTAAAACTTTAAATATATAGATATTTTTATAAAATAACATAAAACATGTGTTTTGTGTGGTTGTAATCGCTGTACGTAATGATAAACCATTTTATAAAATATATAAAAATTAAAATATTTAATTAAATAAAACAAAACATAAAACATATCAATCATATTTCGTAATAATTATAAAATAACATTACATAAAGAAATAAATTTCATAACATGTGTTTCCATACCAATTGTTTTTACAGTTAAATGAGTAAAAAATATAACAAAATTTCAAACATAAATATTTAAACTAAAATTATTTATGAATTATAGGGTTTTGTGAACAGAATTTTTATATATAATAGTCATTACTGACAATAATCATAGGAAGACAGTAATTGTTTTCAAATATAATTCAAAACAATGTTAACAATTAGAATAGTTTTTTGTTTGTTTGCCGAAAATGTCTGTTTTCTTTACAATTTGTGTTTTTGTCAAATTAATGATAAATACTATGGATTTTGAAGAGAATTACATTTATTCAATGCTAAAATCATAACATAAATTCTCAATCAATTATATTTAACTTTTATGTCTCAATATCCATATAATTATATTTATTTATAATTGTATTTATATATTTATAATTTGCAATTATAGATCACAGTATCAATAATAGTCATATCAGTAATAATTAATTAAATGTTAAATAAGTGTTTAATCAATACATTATATTTATACATAGAAATAATTGATGACTTA